CCACTCAAACCACCACAAAGTGCCTTCCATGAAATGGCTCATGCGTCTACCCTCGTATGAGCACAACTCCCAATGCGTCTACCCTCACAAGGGCGCTGCTTTGGGGTCATTGGAATGGGGACACAAAGAATGGCCTCTTACCAAGCCTGATGTTAGTTGCTTGCTTGAACCCAAGTGGAAGTGCCAAGGGACTGCACCCTACAATGTGCTGCTTGTCGAGATGACCGCTTCAACTGGCTCTGTGTGCTTTCGCTCTGATACCAACTATCACAAGGGTAGTTCTACAGTGGAAGAAACTCGTGTGACGTCCAAGCCAAGGTAGGCTAGGAAAAGCCTGATGTGTGCTCAGGGCGAGGAGTTGCCCGATGAGATGGCTCCAGCAAGGTCAGTAGCACTGGATCATGACCTCAAGGCTCATGGCTGGGGCACTCTACTGGCTCTTGCCGATCCATGGGAGGCACCACTTACGTGCTAAAGGGGGATAGCCATGATGAGAGGCGACTTGGTGCCAATGTGAAGGGACTCCTCTATGCCGATGATGATGGGCACCTGTGTGCCATGTTGATAGGCAACCGTTGGGCCAGAACACACCCATGCGCTATGGGCAATAGGGTAGCTCGATTAGCTCAGACACAGGACTGGCAAGGTGTAGGGACATGCTTAGGCCAGACCCACGTGCAAAGCCTCCCCACCATGGCAGTGGCGCCATGCCGGTACTGTCCCCATAGGCATATGTGCGCCTATGAAGAACCCTGGTAGCCATGCTAGTCATTAATTAGGGCCGCCCCACAAGGGAAGTTGGTCTAAGAGTGCCAAGGTCAGTCACCCAAGGAGGTCGACCACCCATTCTCAAAGAGTACGTTAAGCTTTTAGAGGTTTGCCTGAAAATGACATAAATTCTCCCAAAAATCTTACAGGCGAAAATGACGATGATGTCCTTTAACGTAAACCCGCCAAGCATAGGCAAGGCTAAGCCTGTATCAGACCGTGACAACAGTGCAGCCTTACAGGTGGCCCACATTACAACCCTACAACAGTTGAACAGTATTTGGGCTGAGTTGAGTTTTCCATTGATCAACTCTGCTCCTTTAGGCTGTGTTTGGTTTGAAGGAAAAAGTAGAGAAAGAAAAATTTATACAAAGTTTGTAAAGGTTTTCTTACCTTTTCCTTCCTTTCTCTACTTTTTCCTTCCAACCAAACATAACCTTAAGGGCTCAACTCAAATGGACACCTACCGGTTCAAGTGGCTAGGCTTAGTTCTAGTTGTTTACACTCAGCTTAGTTGGGAACTTCGGGAGGAGTCTACCTAGGTTTTCATCGTTAGCCAAAAAGGCAAGGGCGCATTAGGCAAAAATCCGGAGCCATGATCTCATTATAAGCTTTTTTTCTGTGGACGTGTGGTCCATCACTGTCTTGCTTGCATCAGCCATAATCAGCCTTTGCCTTTGGTCTGAGATGATGTCGAGTGGGTGAGGGTCCATCACGTTCAATAGTCTTAGAGTCTGAGATGGAAGTGGTCCGTTGTGGGATATGATCTCTTAATCCAGAATGGGGTTTGATAAGAAAATTAATTTCCAACTGGGGTTTAGGAAAATAAAGAACTAAAGAAGAGAGGCCAAGTCCCGAGAAATAGGGTCTGGGGGTGGGGGTGGGGGTGGGTCCCTCTCTCCTCCGTAGTCCGTAGGATGACTCAAAGTTCAGAATTGGAAGCCAATGGTTGTTGGTTGCTATTTCTTTGTCTTAGTCAAACATGGAACGCCTAGAACATGTGAAGTGTGAACCCCCCATGTCGATGAGATCAAGACTACTCCAGAGTCCAGAGGTCGGCTGATGAACTTGCCCACCGACGTTCACGTTCAAGGGCAAAAGCAAAACACGGACTCTGGCTCTTTTGTTGTTTGTTTGTAGTTTGTTATCTTTTCGTTTTTTTCTTTTACACCAGACACAGTCACACAGAAGATGTTTCATCTGGCAGGTAATAACATAAACAGACAAACGAACAAGTAGATAAATAAACAAAAGTCTACGATGATCCACCACGTGTGAATGCTTCGTGGTAAGAGAGGACGTTTGTGGACGATTATTAATAGGCCCGAACGCGAAGTATTGCTCCCCATGACCCAGTAACCAGTAGCAGAGATTGGTCAGAGTTGGTATCCCACCAAAGTAGGAGGCATGGATCAAACTCCCTGCTCTTTCCCTACCCCTGATTCCCCTGTAATAAGAACTATATATAATATAATACAAAAAAAACAAGAAAAATTGAAATCTTCTGATTTAACTTGGATTATAATCAATATCAGCATTCTTAATGGAAAATGAATAAGAAAAAGGATTGAGGAAAGTTAGAAGAAAATAAAGGAAGACACAGTTGGGAATGGAGGTCTATAAAAGCGCCTACCTACAGAATTGGATAAGAAAAATGATTGAAGTTGGGCTACCAAGTACTCTCATATACATTGGGGGCCTCTTGGGTAGGGTTAAAAGAAGAATGATTAGTTGCCCACATCTCCGTTGCTTTATGTCACACACTTTATGACTAACAGACTAAGTCATTATATGTGATGGATGGTCTTTTTGATTGTATACTCAGATCTTACCCCCAAAAGGTGAGGTTAAATTATATGGGTCCTAAAGGGTCAACTTTTTGGGGTCGCAGTGAGGTAAGCAAAGCCCAGTTTGGCATGAGCCATGGGCCATGGAGGGTTTCACATTTCTTCGCTTGGGGCCCACTGATCAGATTAGACTGCAGAAGGCACAAAAGGTGGACTGGGAGCCTGAAGGTGAGAACTGAGAAGCGGGTGCTAGAATGATCATTAACATTCCAACTGTGTTTCTGAAATCTGTGCTTGTTGTAATGCAGTTTGGTCTGGGCCTTAGTGTGGATAAGAGCTAAAAGTATGCAACTCTGTATAAAGTAGACCTGCTACTCTTCAATCTCCACCATAGTTATGGTGAGTGGTGAGTGATTACTCCTTTTTGTTAGCAAACCCATGACCCACCTACCTAAAAAGATTCCTAGAAAATGGTTCAGCAAGAGATGGGTCCACAGAACCAACTCAAATCAGACAGAATAGAAAAAGGACTTAGGTGAAAGTAGTTAAAAATGAATTAAGCACCAATAATTTAATAATGGATATGGCACTGTATAGAAGGGAATGGTGAAACAGATTTATGTAGCTCGCGCATATAGTTGGGTCAAGGTTTGAGGATGATATGACTCTTTAGTAAACATACAACATTTAAACCAACTTTGCTTTTGACTCGTATTAATTAAACTTAAAGTTGTAAATTTCATTGTAGTTTGAGCCAAGGGGGTGATCATTCTAGCCCGGCCTACAAGGCCTGGCCCGCATTTTTTTTAGGTGGGCATAGGTTTTCTATCCAAAGCCTGGCCTAACCCGGATTTCTCGGTACTTAAAGCCAGCCTAATTTAGTTGGTACAATTGGGTATGGTTATTACAGCATAATCTGGTCCCTAATCCAAGTGATTTCCTATTAGACTAATGGAGGGAGGAAAGTGGAAAACGAGTACCACAGTCCACATATGCAACTAACATAGATGGGCCCTGGGCCATGAGAAGCCCCTTTGGATTTCTATTTTTTTTTCCGCTTACATATGAAACTCTAAAAGCCAGACGGTTCATCAGTCATTTAGAAAACAGAGTAGGCAAATTTGTAAAAGATTAGGACAGTAAGAAAAGTTCCAAGTAAAGATTGTCAAACATGGATGATGACTACTACCTGAAATCTGTGGAGAGTTTCTTTTTTAGTTGTAACAGTGCCTCTCCATACCATCCAATGAAATGGGCATAAACTTTCTGTCCATTCCGGATTTTTCCTATTTAGGTGATTTAGATATAATTATCATAGTTTATGACCCGTACAATGATAGATAAGTGGGGAAGTTAATGGGCTGCCATCCCATGTAGGAGCCCATGTGTTCTTAGAGGTCCACTAAGCCTAGGCTTTGGCTCGATATAACATAATTGCAGATTCAACTATTAATTATCTTGGTAGGTACCTACTACCTACCTGGTGTAATACTTATTCTAATTATTTTCCTGTCTAGTTGTGGAAACTGGTGCTTGATTCGCTTTTGGACAACGAGCCCCAACTATTTTAAAATATTTACTTGGTCTGCAATTCTATTATTGAGATGCAATGTAACGGATTCATGTTAATGGCATATAGTTGAGCTGCTGGGTGCCTCATTAGCTCAATTGGGTGGTTGATCGATGTTCTCAATCTGATATGGAAGCAACTTATGAATAATATAATACTAAGGTTTTTTTTTTGGGGGGGGGGTTGGTGGGGCCTCTTTGTATGTGGTTCAAACACGTATATCGTCAATAAGGTTTGAATGGTCAATAGGCCTCTGAGTGCAGCAAATATACACATAGAGATATCATGAGTCCGGATCTCCTTCCCATAGGAATTCTGTTCATGTTTATCGCAGTCACACATGGAGAATATTTCATTTTCTGTATATTATTATGCTGGGGGAGATGTTCCCAATTCACGGGGTAGTGTGTCGTGGATAGACGTGGGCTGAAGATCCGAACTCAGATATCATCCTTGGTGCATTGACAATTCCTCCTTGTCCATGCCTTTTGGCAAGTGGATTTGAGACCTGATTGTGAATTGTGAATTGTGAATCTGTAATATGCGCACAACCATTTTCTCTGTTTAAACAATAAGTTAGAACTATTAAGGAAAGGTAATTAAGCTAAATTTGTTCATGATCAAGAGATTCAATTCAAGACAATTCCTCAATTCCCAATCCTAATTCAAACAGGTCGAGTTGCACTGTCACTGCCAATTGCCAATTCTGCTTCCCTACTTGAGTTCCTTCACCAAACAATCCAACTCTCTCTACCTAAGATCCCATTTAAACTGATCTTTTTGTGGGTTCTGAATCTGAACCGGTCCAAATTCGACTGAAGATTGCTTACAATTAGCCCTAATCTAATTGTAGAGGTAACAAAGACCAATTACTCTGTGACAAAAATGAAAGAAATCGAAACGCTAAGAAGATGGATTGCAGATATCTATATAGAGTCTGCTAGGTACAGAAGGAAGGATTAATGGATTATGGCCAGAAAACGAAAGCAAACTATATGTCTTACATACAATCGTCTACATTTTCATTTTTTTTTTAATTTTTTTTTATAAAATCGTTTTAGTTAATCCATCTGTTTACCACCTCAAAGAGTGCCTTTGTAGAAGACCCATCTTCGCTCAGCACTCTGGCAGCTGCGTCCTTGAGATCTTTCATCCTAGACCGAATTCTCTTCCCTTCTTCCCCTTCCATGAGTCCCTTCACAACGGTGGCAATCTCTGCTCGACCCACCAACCCATCTTCGTTCACTTTGGCCCTTAGTGACACCTTCAGATCCTCGGAAAGCATAAATGCGTTCATCTTTTGCTCGGCGTAAAGCGGCCATGCGATCAAAGGCACGCCATATACGACGCTCTCCAGGGTGGAGTTCCAGCCACAGTGAGTGAGGAAGCCACCGGTGGAGCCATGACTGAGGATTTCTGTTTGAGGAGCCCAGGAGGATACCACCAGCCCCAACCCCTTGGTCCTCTCCAAGAATCCTTTCGGTAGGAAATCAAAAGGGTCGCTTAGGCCGTGAACGCTGAAGTAAGTAGCGTTGGCTGCTTTTTGACTTGGGCTCCTTACAACCCACAAAAATCTTTGCTCGCTCATCTCCAATCCCAATGCCAGTTCCGTTAGCTGCTCATGTGAAAGCGTTCCACCACTCCCGAAGCTCACAAATAGGACCGATCCACTGGGCTGATCGTCCAACCACTTCAAGCAGTGGGGCCTCTCCGCCGCTCCAGCATCGGAAGAACTTGTCCGTATCAGCGGCCCAACCGGGTACACCGGAGGTCTGCCCGGAATATCCTGCCTGAGAGCCTTCAGAGGTCCCGGTTCCAAATCCATGAAGCTATTCACCATAACACCCTCAGCCAGCAAATATCGCTTTGTGTGGTGCAGAAGCCATTTGTAGGCCTCATTCTTCTTGTCTTGAACCGGGTCCAAGAGTTCTCTCCCGGGAATGGGTAGGCACCCCGGCAATTCCACCGGTTCTTGCAGGTCTCTGTACTCACAGGAGTATCTCTGGTCCAGCTCGGGTAGGTGGAAGAACAAATTCAAAGTCGTGGCCGTGGAAGGGAAGAAGATGTAAGGCGGAAGCTTGAATTCCTTGGCAACGTCGAAGGCGTCGGTGCCGAAGAGATCAGCGACCAAGGCGACGGGACGAGTGGTGGATACCAAGGTCTTCAAGGCGTCGCGGAGAGAAGGGAGGGAACGAACTACGGTGAGGGAGATACGGGTTTCGATCTTAGCATCGTCGGGGAGGTCATCGAAGTTAACGGGAGGGAGGAAGAGGGAGGAGATGGTTTTGGGGAGGGAGTCGAGAACGGAGGTTTGGGCTTTGGAAGGGGGACCATCGGTGGGAACGATGAATGTGACTGTAAAGTGGTGGTGGTGGACGAGTCGCTTGGCGAACTCGATCAGCGGAATGAGGTGGCCCATCCCCGGTGTCGGAACGATGACTATGTGGGGAGTTCGTTGCGGTTGCTCCATGGGTGGGGATAGATGCTTCCTCCTCTGCGATTGGCTTGTGCGGGTGTTTTATATTAGATGAGGCAGGCGGAGGAGGCGGAGGAAAGCCTGAAACTGAAGGGTGGCTAGTTGGCTACCGTGTTAGGACAAAAGATATGGGCTCAAACAAATAAAAAGTGCTTTTATAGGATAGATGCACAGATAGACGACAGATGGGGAGACAGCCAGATTGATAGATAGGTCATAGGTAGAGCCACTAGAGCGTAGAGGTTCTCTCTACTCTCTATTTTATTTATTGGTTTATTTTTTAAATTAATAATTAAATTATGTAGATGTTGGTTGGTTCACACTTCACTGGGGTTGTGGTCATAGTTTAGTTCTGGGCCTGGGTGGGCCTACTTTAAAAATGGGTAGGCTTCTAGAATGCTAAGTTTGATAGGTCTCCGTGATTGTGAATCAATGATTCAAAGGGAACGTCGTGCCTAAAGTGGGGAGCAGATTGAAACCGCACAATTGGAATCAAGGACTTTTTCTTTTCTTGATAATATTATAATATTAGATTAGGGGTGCGTGACGTATGACGATGGCTGAACTCTGAAGGCTGAAAGCTCACCTGAACTCTGAACCTCACCAGACTGGACCGGAGTCACAAAAAAAAACAGAAAAATCAGGAGTCGCCGGACCCACTGGTGTGGCGCTGCGCGGAGAGTAACGATGATGTCAATTCTAACGTAAGCCCTGTGTAATCATATCACCACCTCCTTCCATGATTGTTGATTGGTTGTTGGTTTCTTTAACTCTTTTTATGGAAAAAACATAAACCCCCATTTATTGCCATATGATGCCGTCAGCATGATCTAAAAGAATTCAGGGATCGTTCAGTGAGGTTTCACAACCAGAGCCGGCGGACTAGGATCTCTCTGGAGTAGTTTTACGCAGTATATGCACCACAGAGGATCTAGCTCAACCAAAACCGTCGGACTGGAATCTTCCTTCTTTCCCTTTCCTGTCAAGAACATCTGCATGGGACACGATTCCTAACAACTAACATTTATATTAACCATCACCATTGATACGATACTTTTCTTACAGAGAGTATATCATATAATCTAAAACCGGTGGAAGTGGAATGATTTGATATTGACACAATTTCACCGGTTACAATGTCTTTTATTTGTACTGTGATAATAGCAGTCGGTGGATACATATGCATTGTTTTAAATTCAAGTGTAATAAGTCTTCATTAATTGGACCGATTCATTTCATTAAATCCCATTTCTTACTCGTTATGCTTTTAGCCACTTTTTTATGCCCTATTTATTATGGTCTTTTCAATTTTCAAATTGAGCCCATTAATTACCATCATTAATAGCAATAATTGTGAAATATTTCCAATTTTTCCATTTACTATCTCCCTATTAAATACAAGTTAAAAATAGCAATCCACATCCTATTAGTAAGTGAATCCCATACAAATTAAAAAGAAAAAAAATTCTAAAACAAATATTGTCATTTCTCTCCCTATTAAATACAAGGGCAAAAGACCTTTTTTTTTTTTTTTTTGCTATAAACAACAAGTTTAAAAGACTTAAATCTCCCTCAACGTGTCTCAAAGATACGAAACCTCTTATCTCTTTTCAAGATGTACCAAGGCTATATTTTGCAAATAAACGGGTAGAAAAATAAATACTTATTTCATAAATACTAGATGATGATAATGATCATAATAATATATCCAATTTTTTTATAAAATTTATGTATTTTTTTTATATTTTATATTTTTTGTTATTAATCGGATGCAAATTGCAAAATCTGAATCCAATTATGTAAACATCTCATATTGTGCTGCAAAGTTTTGGGTATCATTTACAAGCCTAAAATCTTCTTTTCATGATGTTTGATCTTTTTAGTTTTTATTGTATCTTTTTTGTTCATTTATCAAAAAAATGTAAGATATAAAGATATGGAATTGAATGATGTGAAAAGTAGTAATTCAAATTATATTTTAAACCTCACAATTAAATAGGGATTAAATTCAAATGATGGGCATTTTAGTCAAAAGAATGTTCCATAATTTTTTTCATATTTTTAATAGTAGTGCAAATATAGATTTATAGATGTATTTAATTTTATCTATAACTATTTTATTTCTATATGCATAAAAATAATTATATTATGTACACTTTTTTTTTGTTTAATATGATAAATATTGATACTACACATGTGCCTAAATGCTTTTTGTAAAATTTATTTATTTTTTTCATTTTTGTGTTTTTATGTTTTATTAATTTTTATTATTTAATTATGACATTAAAGGTTGACACATTTGACCCAAAATTTGAACTATTGATCTTTGCCAAATAGGAAAATAATTTCATTTTTGGTTAGTTTTAGATTATGTATTTCATTTTCATCATCAATAAAATAATTCTTGTTTATCACACTTATTTTTTTAATTTGATTAAATAAAAATATCATAAATGTGTCTAATTTTCCTATATGTTTGTAATTTTCTATATGTATTTTATTTAAAATTTTTATTAACTATGATTTCATAGTTTGACCAATTTGATTCTAATGGTTGAATAGCTTACAGGGTGTTTGGTTCCGTTTACGATTATTTAGTAAAGGTTTATTGATGGTGTCACATAGGCACCATCTCAACATTTTCTCTCTCTTGCACTTCTGCATACGAGCCCGGATCTCCTACCCATGAGAACCCTGCCCACGTTTATCGCAGCCACACATGGAGAACATCTCATCCTCAGCATAGTATTATGCAGGGGGAGATGTTCCCAATTCACGGGGGGTGGTGTATTGTGGGTAGGCGTGGGCAGGAGATCCAGAGTCTTTGCATACATCGAAAATGTAAAAAGTGAACTTTGGTTTATGTGCATGCCAACCTTTTGTAGAAGTTATTTTTTAAAGCTTCCACAAGCGGCCAGGCGTTTATTCATTATTTCACTGAAGTGGCACCTAGTGGCGCCTAGTTCTCATGAACAGTTGCAATTACTGCATTTTTCGGTTTTACCAACAAATAAAGTACCAACGTTTATTCAATAAACATAAACGGAACCAATTACTTAGATAAAGAGTGGTTTTGTTTTTGAGTAAGTTTTGAGGGTAAATTGATGAAACCTCCCTTGAAGTTTGATAATTGTAATCACCTCCCTTGAACTCTTTGATACAATTGCAAGTAGACCCCTTTTTTTAGAATCTTCCAAAAGAGGCACAAAAAGGTCCAAAATACCCTTGCAGTTATTATTAAGGTTGGTTTCTATAGAAAAGCAATACAAATTTTATAAACAACAAAAAATAGAGAATTTAAAGTTGCAATTTTTCCTTTGAATGGTTGATATGAATAGGGGTGTAAACATATTGAATTCAAATCAAATAAGGCAATATTCGAATTTGAATTCGATTAGAAAATTTGATATCCGAATTCAATTTGATATCCAACGGATATTGAAAAATTAATATTCGAATTCGAATTCGATTAAATATTTGAATATTTGATTCGTTTCGAATTTGACCAATTAATTATTTTAGGTAGTAAATTAATATATAAAATAAATATTTTATTTATATAAAGTATATAAACACATAAATTATTTATGCAATTTAATTATTATATAGATAAATTATATAAAATATTTAAATATTTTATATATTATATATAAGAATTAAATAGTTGTTCGGGTTTGGATATTTATCGAATTGAATCATGTCATATCCGAATTCAAATCCAATTAGCTAATCGATATGAATAAGATATCTGAATTTGACTAATTAGATATTCGAATTCGATTCAATTATGCCGAATCTTGATTTCGAAATCGGATTTTCGAGTATTATTGACAGTCCTAGATAAGAAGGGCAAATTTTAAATCAATTTCAGAAAAAGAGATTGGAAGGATTTGGGCAAGCGATTCATATATAGAGAAAATTTGGAAAATAAAGATTTCGGTCAAAAGTAACTACATGGGCATTTTGTCTTTTTTATGCTTCTTATTAGAAGATTCTAACAAAGCTACAAGGGGATCTACACATGCAACTATATCAGAAAGTTCAAGGGATGTAATTGTAATTACTAAACTTCAAGAGAGGTTTCATCAACAACTAGAAACTTTAGGGGGGTTAAAATGTGTGTGTGTGTGTGTTTATATTGTTAAAAGTATTGGAGATAGATCTAATTAGTAGCATTTACTTAAATATAAGATTTAATAAGAGAGAATGTGAGTTAATACCTTAAATATAAGACATAATGAGAAGGGATTAAACGAGGTGAAAAGTATTAATTGAAATTACATTTTCAACCCTCATAATTAGAGATTGACTAAATGCACAAATATGTACATTTTAGTCAATGAAAGTTCCACACCCTCATTTGTACTTTTTATAATAATATATATTTATCTTTAAGTACTTATTTAAATAAGTACTTATTAGTGTTCGGTAGGTCCTTTCTCAAATCACTTAAGTTGTGTTTATTTGCGGTGTAAATATCGGACCTGTGTAATTAAACACTCCAGTCCGGTTTTGTAGCCATTTGGATGAAGTCTTATTTAACACCAAAAAATGATGTAAACTACAACTTCAATAAAAACGATGTAAACATTTACATTGATAATCCCACTTTCCATTTACAACGGAACATAATTTTAAACCGATCAGTGTACAACTCCATCGGTGTAAGTGTACTTTTAAACCACATTCAAATGCAACCTTAAACTTATTTTAAGTACTTATATTTGTGAAAATGACAATTATAATCATGAATAATTGCCCAAAATGGAGAAAAAGGGTGGAGATTCATGTACTGAGAACGACTTCTCTCCATAGAGTTGTGTGTCACCATTGCTGGTTCGTGTTGGAACTCACATGGAGAAGACATTTGATGGGATTTTGAAAAAAACAATGGAACTGTTTTGCCCCAAGTGCTTATTGAAAGAGTGCTTAAAATAAGTGGCCCCTAAGTTGCCTTTTTTCAAGTACTTATTTTGAAAACAAGCACTTATTTGCTCCTGTTTAACCAAATGCAAATAAGTGCTTATTTGCCACTCATTGCGTGGTCCCACTACTTACTTTAAGTACCTAAAATAAGTGATACCAAATAGGCGCTAAGACTCATCGGACAAAGACTCCTGTGCTAGTAATTCAAGTTAGGGCCATT